TGTGTTGTATTTTTATCTTGAGTTTTCATATTTCTGTGAGGTGGGCACTCCTGTATTCAGTAGCCTGTCTGATATTTACTGGTTTTCACAAGCGTCTTGAATATACGTCAAAGTATGGGTCATCCCAGGTTTTACAAGTTCTAGTTTTATTTACTATTTTCCATTTTACTTTTGGTGTTCAAGAACTTGTAAAACCTGGGATGACCCATGCCCTTTATGCCTACAGGAAAAACTACACATCATTAAATTTCTAAATAATGAAAAATTATTAAACCATAGGCAGGAGTTAACGGTTTTTTGCCGACATCAACAAACTTTCGCATTAAATAATTAGCATAAAAAAATCCCATTGCTAAATAAAATTCTTAAAAGCTTAGCCAAATCATTAAATAGGAAAATCCTCTTTTGTAGTCGTCAAATAACAAATTGAAATTCAGTGCAATAAGATCTGTATATAAAACACCCACTTGAATAAACAAATAAATAAATAGATAATCAGATGGACAATAATAAAAGTCAATTCTTCAGACACATAACGACTTGTAGGCGCGCCATAAAAATATCCCTCACTGGGAACCAACTAAAGGGTGACCACAAACATTAGCCTTGAAATAGATACCCCACCCAACCTTAGCAAAACCTCTCAGAAGATGATGAATCTATTGATAAGAATTAACTCTCTGACGACTTAACGAAGGATAGTCTAGCCACTCCCACAATAACGAATTTTGTAACGGACCATGACTAAAAACACACGTAAACCGAGAGATAACATATTCCTAAAATTTCTCTTGAAGATGAAACGGGATTAAGCACCACAATTCAACTTAATTTTAATAATTATTTGGATGGTTTCGTCTCTCGTTTTTGAAACATGAGAACTCTTATGTAGCGAAGGAATCATATTTTTAAACAAAAAATATTATTATATATATATGGTTGTATATTTAGGCAGCAATCCTTCCTTTATGCATGTTTCATTAAAAACGACAGACAAATGTACCCGATTCCATTAGGAACATACCAGTAGAAAACACAAATATATTAACTGCATCCACCTGAAAAAAAAAAGATTAAAAATAAAGGAAGCTTTAATAATAAAATAGAAAAAGCCAACTCTTAACAATATTAACTACAAACAAAGCCACAATGTTCTAACTGTATTAGAAAATTAAAAACATCCCTACGACACACTAAAACATACACAGAACGCACACACTCAATTAAGCTGAAAATCGAATCATCCTTGATAATGGCTAAAGGTATAGCCGAAAGCGCTCGGAAATATAAAACATTCGGACAGTTCTTACACACCCTTTGTCCAGAAAAGAAAGTTCTTGTCAGAACGCAAGAAAAATTAAATAAAAAAGCTTAACCGCAGTACCTTGTCTGTCGTTTTTAATGAAATATGCATATATATATATATTAAGAAATGGACAAAGTCCGACAATTCATTTATTAAAGACATTTTTATGTTTAACGTTCTTTTTTTATAGATACAAGTATTTAAGTAAATGCTCTGTTTATAATAAACAGTATTAAATAACATTTACCGGCCTGAATGTCCGAGAAATTTTCATAGAAAATATTCGTCCTTTGACAGGATTCGAACCTACATCCTATACGAAACCGTCATTTACGCTGACGTGCCTTACCGTCTCGGCCACAAAGGACGAAAATTTTCTATGAAAATTTCTCGGACATTCAGGCCGGTAAATGTTATTTAATACTGTTTATTATAAACAGAGCATTTACTTAAATACTTGTATCTATAAAAAAAGAACGTTAAACATAAAATGTCTTTAATATATATATATATATATATATATATATATATATATATATATATATATATATATATATATATATATATATATATATATATATATATCCATATGAGGCAGTAAATCGACTAAGAGATAATGGGTTACATGGCGTGGAATAAATAAGAACAGAAACCATTGATAATAGAGGGAAGAGGAAATCGTAATAAGGAGGAGAGTAGATAGCGATAGACATTGCATTTCATTTTTTTACAGATTAAATTTTCCCGGAAATCATGGAGACGGAAGGAAATTCCACAAGTGAGAATTGTTTAGCAATCAGTTTTTATGTACCACTTCCCGCATATGTATTACACAAAGCAGTTGTTAAGATGATTTCATGCCTTTTAAGCAATATTCTTAGTAGTAGACATTTTTTCTCTATTTACATTCGCGACAACAGCTTCTTCTTTACGATCACCAAAGTTAAGCAACGTCGAGCCGGATCAGTACATAGATGGTCACCGCTGGAGAATACCAGGGACTTTAAGTTTGGATGTGCGGGTGGTGCAATAGTTAGTGGCTCGCAATTGTTAAACAGATAGTCGAGTTCTAATTCCTGCAGGAAAGGTGAGAATCTATCTCTGTTTCCCCCAGTTATGGGTTAATTAGTAAAACTTGTATCTCTAAACTATTATTATCAGCCCAACAAAAAATATTTTTTTCAATCTAAAAATATTGATAAGCTGTAGAAAACGAAAATTTTAATCATTTCCCCCTCAAGCAAGACAATAAATCCACTAAGACTCAAGACGTTACTGAGTGTTCATGAGAAAAATATATAATTAAATAGAGAACACAATAAAAGAACAAAATTATGAAGACAGAAGATAACGATTGACATCATATTTAAATTTTTGTACATCAAAATTGACAGAGAATCAAAAACCAGAAGAGAGTACCCTAAGTGAGAAGTGCGATAGAAGAAACTGTTAGCATAGAACTTGCGGTTATATCTAGTCATTTCAAATGTAAATTGATGAGACCTTGCCGCCAATCTAGTACTGCACTTAAATTCATAAAGTCTAGGTATCATACAGGAAAGTTCATCACAAAAATTCCCATGAAAGTTCTTATAGAAAGGTACAGGGAAAATACTTTATGGCGGTGGGAGAGGGACTGAAGCCGAGATGCCAGGTCAAGATAAATAACATACCAGATTCTTCTTTGAATTTTATCAAGAATCACTAAATACGTAGCAGGAGCGCTAGACCAGATGTGACAGAAATATTCAACGCCAGGACGAATGGTAGATTTATTTATAAATCTACTATTTGTCCTTGCTAGATATATGTATCAGAAATATAGAAATATACATCAATAAGCAAGTTATGATATACAAGATGGGATTGATAAGTCTAAATTGCGCAAAAATGAAAATAACTCTGACATCTCACTTTAACAAATATATTTACAGACATTACCCCAAAACGTCATGAAATACTAAAGAGTAAATTTATTCAATAAAATCGCGATTGGCTTCAATCATGGACTCCAGACAACTTTGGAATCTCCTGCAAGTCTTTTGTACGGTTTCCTCGTTCAAGTTGGTGAATGCTGCCATAATTCTTGCCTTCAGTTCATCTTTTCTGTTACAAGAAGTTTTGTTGGTCTCTTGCTCAACTGCACCCCACCCATAACAATCAAGGGAGTTGCTGTCTATGGAGTTAGGTGACAGGATGTCAGGTGTGATGTGGTCGCAGAAATTGAACTTTTACCAGACAGGGTTTTCCAGCAGCCACAGTCTTGACCCAGGGCAGCACTACATCCTCAAGGCACTTGATGTAGTCCTCCCTGTTGAGTTTAAGGCACTGTGGGAATATGAATAGAGGCATAACGTCGCCATCACATGTGATCACTCAAAACACCTTCGTAATCACCATAAGACTCATCCAACTTTTTCCGAATAATCTGCCCTGTCCTCACGTTGGCACTGAAACTGAAATGTTCCTATTGGAGTATTCGGCGCGAATTCCAAGCACTGCCGTTTAAAAATTTCTGGGTGTGCGGTGATATGCATCATAGTGTTCTTTTTCTCACAGACGGTGCCCAACTGACCCTACTATATTTGCAGTCGAGAAAATCAATGACAAACAACGCGCATGCGCGAAATTAAAAATGGCGACAATTTACGCATTGC